TTAACATAATTTAACAGAATACCATCGTATGTGCTTACTAGTTATTAGATACCAAAGAGTAAACAGCAAACAATAGTAATGACATCACTGAACACGTTAATAAAATCTTACCATAACTTAAAGAATACCATCTGTATGTTCTTACTAGTTAATATACACCAAAAAATAAACAGCAAAGAATAGTCATGACATCACTGAACACGTTAATAAAATCTTAGCATAACGTAACAGAATACCATCCTATGTGCTCACTAGGTACTATATAACAAAGAATAAACAGCAAAGAATAGTAATGTCATCACTGAACACGTTCATAAAACCTTAACATAACTTTAAAATACGTTTTCCAAGGTACAATACTTTTTAAAGGAGCCTTGGTAGCATAGCGGATTATGAGCTGGGTTGGTAACTGCAAGGCCAGCAGTTCAAATCTACCAGTCACTTTGCAGTAGAAAGATGAGGCTTTCTGCTCCTGTAAAGATTTATAGCCTCGGAACCAATGCTATTTGAGTGGGAACCGATTCAGTGAATGGGAACCAATTCAGTGGCATGCAACCACCACCACACTTTTTTAAAAGTCAGCTTCATCTCCTCAAGCAAGGTCAATTCAATTTTAATGATTTGAGTCCTTTGTCTAATAGAATAACAGCATGCGGTGTGATAAACTCAGGGATCTGTAATAGCACCTCCTGCAGGTTCTGGAGCAGCCTCTCCCAGCAGCTTTTAACATGACTTTCCAGACACATCTCAAGGCAAGCATGCAGTGGGTGCAGCTTGTATAGCAACGTCAAACAGGTAACAGAATGGCTCTGGCAGGATTGATCACTGCACATCTGGACTACCTCTAGAGCCAGACCCCACAGCCACATGTAATTCAAGGCCTGGAGTCTGTGATTTGTTAAACTAATTAACACAAAATTCATTTCCAAAAACATAAAAGGGAGGATGAGGCACCTCTCTAACCATAATTTAGAATGAGGGTTTTTGAGCAATCCAAAAGATCTCAAGATTCAGAAGTCTAAGGTCATAAGGATTCTCAGGGATGTGGAGTTCATACACAAAGGGGCTTCAAAAGGTTCACGGAAAAATGGAATTCAAAGCTCATGGGATGTGTCCAGCAGTTGTTTTGAAGCTCCTCGTGTGACAAGTCAGACTGAGTTTTCCAGCCCCGATGCCGCTGCCACTGTTACTGGACCAACTAGAGGCACTGTGCTCCTACTGCTACTTGCAGCAGCACTTCATGGAGAGAGGAGTGGAAACAGAGCTGTTAGTGGTTCTTCTGAGCAAAGGAAGAGAGAGACGGGACCAGGTGGTGTTTTACGGAAGCAGCTTGGGACATACTGCTGCTCATCTTCATTTGTTGGTAAAAGCAGCCTGAGGTCTAATACTTTAAAAATGATGCTTCTCAGGGATGTGGAGTTTTTATGGGTTAACTTATATGATATGAAGTTAAAGTATGCCAACATTTCTACACAGGTAACACACTGGGCTGAAGCATCCTTGCAATATGTAAGTTTTTCATGTATATTTTCCCTGGGGTTACCAAAACAAGAGTGCTGTCATTCAGCAAGCTATAAAGTCCCCCAGAGAAGACCATGTCTCAGCCACTTCTGAATCCAAAGCATCTAATACTGTACACAGTAAGTACTTAATAAATATCTGCTCAACTGAACTTCGATAATACCTTGAAGGCCTTTCGGTAGTTCCATGGTTTTTATAATTTGTTCTGTTACATCTGATGCACTGAGTCCTTGTAGCCTCTTCTCCCAGAAAAGCTGCAAGGCAAAACAGTAATGTTAATAGACGTATTCTTGAAACAGGAAAGTAGTGCATCGATGCTGTTAAATAATGAAATTTAAACCATTTCAATAGTTCCCTGATTTTTTTTCCATATGAAAAGCTGGAAGGTACTACAAACATGAATTATTTCTACAGGTCATAATTCTTTCAAATGACATTACTCAAACAAAACATGTTTTCTTACTATATGCAGCCTACTCACTCTTACAATACTAAAACTGTAATTTCTAATTTCCAAAGGTTCATTTGGCATGAGATTTTGATGTTATAATCTGTGAGGGAAAAATCATATTATTCTTTCTCCAGTATCATTAGGGAAAGAGGTACTCCACATATGTACTTTTTTCAAGATAGTAAAGCCCCTTAGCATACTTCATGAGGAAAAAAAAGGGCATTTTTTTAAAAAAAATATAGACAGTAAGCAGCCCTGGTGGTGTCATGGTTAAAGCAATCCACTGCTAACTGACAGGTCTGTGGTTCAAACCTACCTGCCGCTCCACAGGAGCAAGATGTGGCAATGTGCTTCCATAAAACCCTTTCTAAACTGTCTTACGTACTTCCCTGCCTTTGTAAAAGTGGACCCCACACTCGTAAGTGACTTTCTCCCTGCTGCACAGGATGTGGGTTGCCATACTCACTCACTGGCCACAAGTCATCACTGTTGGCACTGGTGCAGGCACAGAGAAGCTCTTGACACTGCCCAGTGCTATGGAGGCACACCGTCACTTATACAAATATTGAATGGGCCAAACCAGTTAAGAGTTAGATTTTTAGATTCGTTTTATTCCTTCTTCTCTCTCCTCACTATTCCATGTCACTAAGACCATTCATCTATCCAACAGTAGGTCCTGAGCTCCTATTATGTGCAATGCTTGCCCTGTGGATACACCAGTCAACAACTGAGGCATCAGCCTTGTCCTCGAGTCTCATCTGTTCTAGCTTGCTTGGCATTTATCACAGGTCAGCCAAACTCAACAGGAACCCAAGGCCTGTCACACAGTGGGTACTGAAAAGGGTCAGTGTGAAAGACTGCAGATGGGAGGGACTGTCAATTAAGGCCCAGCTGCATATGCTTCATCTACCACGGAGTGCCAGAAGCCAGGGCTGATGGGGATCAATAACGCAGCCGCTTTAGTGAGCTCAGTGACAACATCTGTTTACTGGGATTAGAACTACCCATAATACAACTGGGGTGGTCTTTCCTTAACTACTGGGGATCTAATTTAAACTGTGAGGGATTTGTTTAACCTGCCTTATGAAGAATATCCAAAGAAGAGGATAAGGAAGGAACTTGGATCACAGCCCACGACCCTCACAACCACACAGAAATACACACCTGTATTCTATATTATTACTATTCACCTTAACTCTGAGCTTACTAAGATGTACTATAAAGAGATTTTAGCTCATTTGGGGGAAGTCAAAATAATACAGTTTAGGAAAAAACTAATTTGAGCATCAAACCAAATTCAATAAAGGTTCTTCGGGTAACCATTATATGCCAAGTGCTATGCTGGGCATTAGGGATGGTTAATAGGATAAATGACAAGCCCTGACCTCTACAAGTTTACTGTTTAGTGGGAGGGAAAGCACAACTCTATAAGACAACCCGTAATAGATGCAATGATGAATTTAAACATCCTTCCCCATTTTGTCCAAACTAGATTGCCTCTCGCCGGGGCCCAAGGCTGAATGAGAGCACTGGCATAGGCTGGACCAGCTCCATAATCTGCAGGACCCAGGACAAAATGTGCTGGAAGAAGACAAACAACCAGAATGCTCGCTCCTTAGAACCCAGGATGGTGATAAGGAGTGACTAGTCCCTGGAGGAGAAGATCATATTTGGTAAAGTGGAGGGTCAACAAAAAAGAGGAAGACCCCCAACAGGATGAATTGGCACAATGCAGCAGCAATGGGCTCAAGCCTAACAACTGTGAGGATGGCACAGGACCAGGTAGGGTCTCGTTCTGCTGTCCATAAGGTTACTGAGCTGGAACCGACTCAACCAATGACACCAAACAAACAACAACCAAAGGGCAAAATGAAAATGGGCTTTATGAAAAGAAATTGCTCGCAAATTATTCAGAGGTTTCAGATGGCAAAAGCATAACACGCTGGTGGACACTGAGCTCGTCTCGTGCACCACACAGGGCACGTCCCCATGAAGCCAGCCTTGGAGGCATGGAGGAAGGAGAGGAAGAGTAGAGAAGGGACCCCTCCCCATCTCTGCTGTGCAGCAATACTCAGGGAAATGCTGTGACAGTCTCCCCCTGTGAATATCTTAAAGGACAGTGACAGAAAAAGAGTTCTAGTTGGATCTATGTAGTACAAAGCACCCTCTCCTTAATTCCTTTTAAAATAACCACTAGCTAAGGGCTGTTCATGCCAGCTGGTCCTCATTTGGAAGAACAATAAAAAGGGTCAGTTGTTGTTGTGAAGTGCCATTGAATCGGTTCTGACTCATAGTGACCCTTTCAGAGGAGTGGCTGGTGAGTTTGAGCCACCAACGTTACAGTTAAAACCAACCTTGTGGTCGAGTGCTTATTGTACAGTACCACACCAGGACTCCTAAGGAACAGTCTAGGTAAGGAAAAACGCAAGACAGGAGATGAAGAAACCATATTGGGGAAGAGTGGACTGAAGGTTCAAGAAGGGTCGAAATCACGTTCTATGTAAAGCCCAGTGGATTACATAACTAACTCTTCATTAAGATTTCTTGCTTATTTTTACTCTGTCTGTTTCCATGCTGTGGTGACAGTGAAACTTAGGAGACATCAGAAAGGCTCTGAACTCGCTTCAGGAATAGAACATAGGTGAGAATCAAAAACACGGATTACTACATTTCTATTCTTCAATGAATCAAGAAGACGGGGACACCGTCCAGTCAGCGCAGTGGTCTAGAACAGAGTTCCTCAGTCTAAACATTACTGACATTCTAGCTTGGCCCATGCTTTTCATGGGGCTGTCCTGTACATTGTAGGATATGGCAGCATCTCTGGCCCCTGTGTACTAGATGCCAGCAGCATCAATCCAATCATCCCAACTGTGACAAGCAAAAAATATCTCCAGACCCTACCAGATGTCCAGAGGGATGGGCACTGGGTGAGCACCACGGGTCCAGAGAAAGACAATGGGAAATTTAAGTGACAGGGGCCAAGATCTCTCAGCAGAAATAGGAGGCCCTTCCACTGGCATCATTAACGCCAGCTTCTCTTTCCTGGCAGTTCTAAGAACCACTACCAGTGGCTTAGAGCTAGTCGCTCTTTTTCACTACCAGACAACTGGGAGTGGAGGAGGGGAAAACAGGGATCCAGTTATACTGATAGGTATGAAAAAATAGGAGTGGGGAGAAACATTTCATGCCCTTAGCAGTTGAATTTCAAGTATTTCCTGATAGAAACAGGGTCATACAATAATTGCCTTTTAAGAAAAAAGTGTTTTTTTAATGGACTGGTCTGAGATGCTAGTGCCGTTTATAATACTATTTCAGCTGGAATATACAGAGTGCCAAACAGCGGAAATGCGGATTTTATCGTATAACCCATAAATTAGAAAGCACCTATATGTGCAAATTTTAGAAGGAGCACTGTTGTTTATCAGAGCATCAGGAATCACACATGTGCTCAAATCTGTCACAGTTCAACGTAAAATGCCTTTAGGTGTTCAAGTACAGGTACAGCAACTAAACAGGGCAGGTTCATCTGGGAGATGTCGATTTCCATAGAGTCTTAGTATGTAGCTATGAGTAGGACTGGGCCAAAACTAAACTAAAAGTTCACAGAAAAAGCATCTTACCAAACCAAAGCATACAAAGATTTAAGACTTACTTTAGCCCTCAGATATTGTCTACAAATGTATCTTCTTTAAGCTTTGAAATTATGATCTCCAATAGAACACAATGACATACAAAGTGAAGTTCATCTAAATATTTAAACTCCTAGGTCTTATTGCTTATTTTAAATACCATACACTCAACTATTGACTCTCTAGCTAACTAGATATGTCAGCAGCTCAGGTTTATGGGTCCTGAATCTCCCTTCCACCTCAGACTTCCCCACACCATCTGAACCTTCCTTGTTCCCATCTCCTGTCTTGGAGCAGCAGGCATCCTTTCTAAGATTATCCCTACATCTGTGCTCTTATCACATCGTATCCTGCCTCCTCTTGGTCTTGCTCCATCAACTTCTCTCACATTTTCCATCCCTCTGCCCTCCTTATTTTCCTGAAGTGATGAACACACTCAAACACCCACAACCTTAAATGATCTACACTGCTTTTCTGCCTCAAACCACCTCAATCTTCCACCTTCCACTGGTAGAGAAACTCTATCATTTCCTCACCTGGCACTCATTCTTTTCCTTGTAACCCAAGCTCTGCCCTTACCATTATGTTCACACTGATCTGCCCAAGGTCACTGTAACCTTCTAATTACCAAATCCAATTCCTAAACTAAGTCCCCTTTTCCCTCCTTTACTGTTCCAGTCACCGAAGGCCGGTGTACTAATGAAAGTTGAGGGCTCCTATGATAATTCTTTGCATGGTGCTATCTTCTCTACTAACATTAAGCAACACATTGTCACTGCTAACAGTAGTTGTCAAGGAAACAAGACTATAAGCACTTTTCTTTTTTTCCCATTGGGAAAAAATTTTTTTTAAATATATAAGACAGATGATATAGTACCTTTTAAAATGTACAAGGACAAAAGTGTTAATACTTTGAAAAATAGAAAAACCAAAGTTGTCTTAAAATCTCATCGTTTTAAGAGTTTTAGCCTGAACATCATTCTATGATGCTAAACAGCTAGTTGGTCCTCAGATGTTTGTTGAATACATCTGTGTAAGTAGAGGGAATATGGGGTAAAGAGCATGGCTCACAAGCAAAATGCTTAGACCTGACCTAACAATTAAATATATTTGCCATCCTAGACTTGTCATTCAATCCCTTTGCATGTTTTTCACTACTGAAAATGGAAAT